TCCGATGGTACTTGTTGAGTTGGCATAGATCGAGATTAAGATTTGTCACTCCGATTGTCGGAGAGGTATCTCTAGGCCCTCTCGGTAATGCAACATCACTATAAGCCTTGCAAGCAATGCAATTAATGAGTTAGTTGCGGGATAGTGCATTACAGAACGAGTAAAGAGACTTGCCGGTAACGAGATTGAACTAGGTATTGAGATACCGATGATCGAATCTCGGGCAAGTAACATACCGATGACAAAGGGAACAACGTATGTTGTTATGCGGTTTGACCGATAAAGATCTTCGTAGAATATGTAGGAGCCAATATGAACATCCAGGTTCCACTATTGGTTATTGACCAGAGACGTGTCTCGGTCATGTCTACATAGTTCTCGAACCCGTAGGGTCTGCACGCTTAACGTTCGGTGACGATCAGTATTATGAGTTTATGTGATTTGATGTACCGAAGGTAGTTCGGAGTCCCGGATGAGATTAGGGACATGACGAGGAGTCTTGAAATGGTCGAGACGTAAATCGATATATTGGACGACTATATTCGGACATCAGAAAGGTTCCGAGTGATTCGGGTATTTTTTGGAGTACCGGGGAGTTACGGGAATATGGGGAAGAAGTATTGGGCCTCATGGGCCAAGTGGTGGAAGAGAGGAGGCAGGGCACGCGGCCCCCCTAGCCCAAACCGAATTGGACTAGGGGGGCGGGCCCCCTTTCCTCCTTTCCTCCATCTCCTTCCTTATCCCTCACCTCCCTCCTTTCCTCCTCCTAGTAGCAGTAGGAAAGGGGAGTCCTACTCCTACTAGGAGGAGGACTCCTCCTCTTGGCGCGCCCTACAGGGGCCGGCCGGCCTCCCCCTTGCTCCTTTATATACGGGGCAGGGGCACCCTAGGACACACAAGTTGATTGTTCCAAGCCGTGTGTGGTGCCCCCTCCACCATAATCCACATCAATCATATCGTAGCGGTGCTTAGGCGAAGCCCTGCGTCGGTAGCAACATCATCATCGTCATCACGCCATCGTGCTGACGGAACTCTCCCGTGAAGCTTTGCTGGATCAAAGTTCGTGGGACATCATCGAGCTGAACGTGTGCTGAACTCGGAGGTGTCGTGCGTTTGGTACTTGGATCGGTCGGATCGTGAAGATGTTCGACTACATCAACCACGTTCTCATAATGCTTCCGCTTACGGTCTACGAGGGTACGTGGACAATACTCTTCCCTCTTGTTGCTATGCATCACCATGATCTTGCGTGTGCTTAGGATTTTTTTTTTGAAATTACTACATTCCCCAACAATTTTAGTGTTAGATACATCCGTTTCTAGAATAGTCTAAGACAAGTAATTTGAGACAGAGGTAATACATGTCAATATGTATTGTGGGTTATTGCCATGTAATGGCATTTTTCAACGCTGACCCGTAAATTTGCTCTGGCATCTGTCCGCGGACAGGGAGGGACTAGTCCATGGACACAGATGTGGGAGCCGGCCATCCAACGCTATCCACATACATTGGACCCTTTTTTTATTATGCACGTTCAAATAGCCGCATACATAGTCTACAATTGTTCAAATGCTAAATGCAGCAGTAGTTCTAATTTAAAAAGTTCAAATATTACACTCTAACAATTTTGTCCCCCTTAAACCGCGCACAGATGCTCAATCAAATCTTTTTTTAGTTGCTCGTGAGTTGCTCCAAAGATCATGTGATGCAATTGCTTCAATAATGATTGCAGGCATCTTAACATGACATGATATTGCCCTTGTAAAGCTTTCGGGCAATTTTTCTATTTCCAATGCATGGAGTCAAGAGATCTGAGCAAACCTAGTCACACTCTTGCTTCTGAGATTGCCAAGATCCTTTTGGTGTCTGTCACAGTTGGTTCTCTCAAGTACTACGGGCCAAACACCTCGACCACGGCAATTGCAAACCTGACCGGATGCCATGGTAGAGACGATCGAAGACATTTTTGCGCATCCGAAAAGCTTGCGAAAATTGTCAGCGAAGAGCGCATCTGGGGCAAAGTAGTTGTCCATCAGTGTCAAATGGCCATGCGCCCGGTTGCGGTTGAGCACTCGATGACCCTTGATCGATCTCTTGAAATTGAGAACATGCCCCTTCGCACGCTCCGCGTCTGCAAGCATCGCCTGCATCATCATCGTCTCATCTATGTAGTCCTTCTCGTCGGACGAGTCGGATGAATCAACATAGTGCTCGCATGTGCACTCCATATCCGGATCCATTGCTTAGTTAGCTAGGGAAATTCACCGAACAGTTGTTGGGCATGGTGAGCATCGTACGAGCGGATGGTACGTAGCCGCGCGGCGGTCGGAGGAAAGGCATGAAACGGCGGCGAAGGAGAAGCGGCGTGGAGTCCGGGTGTATCGTTTGAGGTGATGGACTCGTCGAGTTCCGACAGGGGTGCGGTGTGGCGGCCGGGGTGGTGGAGCGGCGGCGAAGGCAAGAGAGAAAAACTGAAGGAAAGAAATGGTACGATGGAGGCACGAGGTTTTGGAGGGGTTTGGGGTGTCAGAGTCCTACATGGCTGCTGTCCAGACCCCCGCAAGCCCCCCCCCCACTTTGTCTCGGATTTGTTGAAAAATGTGCGTCAGGACCGCTCGATGAACCGATACAAGTTTTTGTGCTGGTTGGCTAAACACGTCCGGACCGTGCAGTCTGGACGGTTATAAGCGATTTAAGGGTCCGTTTTAGAGATGCCCTGACGCCATACATTCTCTAAAGATTCCCTCATAATATCCTCTCTCGAGCATTTGTCTTTTGTGTCCTGCTTTTCATTATAGCAACATATTATTGGATTTTAAGCTTGTCTTTTAGAACTATACCATTGCTGATATCACGTCATTTCCTCTGCATTATCAATGTAGCTACCACAAATTATTTGTGACATTTTATAAGTGAATTTTAAGTACCTATAACAAATTGTTCACGACACTAGCTATGAGTGATTTTGAAGGAGAAGAGAGGGTTCCACAACCATTGTCACATGAAACCAGAGACAACTATGAAGACCATATGGACAAAATCATCCAACTTGTTTATATTGACAAAAGCCGGGTTCAAAGTCATGATTTTCTTTAACACAGTACAAATGCAGACGCTCATACATACACTCATCTCTATGACCGTATGCACACATATTCTATCACTGTGAGTACTCCCTCTGTATCTTTTTAGGGATAAGTATATTTTCTATCCCTCAACTTTTTCGATAGTATAGAAATGGTTCCTCAACTGTAAAACCAGTAAATCTTAGTCCCTTAACATTCAGAACCGGATAAGTTTAGTCCCTCAACTTTTTAAACCGGATAAGTTTAGTCCCTCGCATCGCTTCGCGTGGTTTTATGCCGACGTGCAGTGGTTTTGACTGTGCGCGGTGGCTGTCGGCCACGACGCACCCCTTCCGGCCGGGGCAGCACCCAACTTACGGTCATTCAGCTGTACAAAGCTAGACTCGTACCAGCTCGCTCGTGTATAAAGCAACCTCTCCTGGTGCGCTTCTGGCTGCTGAATAATTAGTTAGGCCGTTGATTTTTTTCCCGTTTTCATCCCATTCAGTCAGCAGGGCACGAGCTCCACTATTTTGTGTGGAGGCCGTGCGCGTGGATTCCGGCAGCTGCATGCGTGTCGTTGCATGTCGATGCAAGTGTCCAGCTGCGCGTCAAGTTGTTCGCTGCACAAACTACTCGAGTCCTAGTGTTCACATCAGAGTGCATCTGGGCGTGTGAGTTGAGACCTAACACTGGCGCGGCCGGTGCTTTTGGCCCGAGAGGAATCAACTTGACGTGCATACGTAAGCTAGTTGTTGGCTTTGCTTTTGCTGCGCGCATGCATCGGCATGTAATCGTATCTACTACGAGCGGACCACATCAAGCCAGCGTTCCAAGCCCACTCTCGGCGGAAAGTCGCGTTGCCGCCGTCGAGCAGGCTGGCACCTGGACGATCTCGCCATGGGCAAACTCAGACTGGCATATGTCGCAGCCTGCATGGACGAACGGGCACTGCTGTTCTGCTTGTGGGCCCATGAGGCGGCGGCGTAAGTGGCAACCGGGAGCGTGATGAGACTGGCAGCGCGCAACCTTTCCAGGCTCTCACTTTTTTCTGTAGTGAATACCATAATATACCACACCACATTGGCAGGAAACCATCTAAAACAGCACGAGGGATTAAACTTATCCGGTTTTAAAAGTAGAGGGACAACGTTTTGCTGGTTTTAGAGTTAAGGGACCATTTCTCTACTTTCAAAAGAGTTAAGGGACAGAAAATATACTTTTCCCTTCTTTTTACTCCGCATATAAGATTTGATCAAAGTCAAACTGCACAAAGTTTGATCAAATTTATATAAAAATATATGAACATCTACAATACTAAAAACTATATAATATGAACATACATTTCGTGGTGCATCTGATAATATTGATTTCATATTGTGAATATTTATATTTTTTTAATATAAAGTTAGTCAAACTTTACAAAGCTTGACTTTGACCAAACCTTACATGCGGACTAAAAAGAAACGGAGGGAGTATCTCCGAGAGCTGGGCCGACACATTATTTTGAAATTGACGAAGTCGCCACTTTGTAGTCGATGAAAACGTCTCCTTTTACTGAATGCATATCGTCAAAAGACCTAAAATGAATCCAGAAGAATGCGAGCACCAATATCAAGTGGTCGAAGTACTAAAGTAAGTAAAAGAAGTTAAGAAAGTGAAAATGATGTGCAACAAGGAGGCTTGCTGCGGATGTGTATGGTCTAAAGAAACTCAGCACATTTGCTTTGCAAAATAAATACAAAAACCAGCAAAAGCACCACAAGATCTAAATTTAGCTTGTGTAGCGGGACGACCACAATTCCCCGCCACCCCTTCCGATCTCCTAACGCTCCCGCTCCCACCGTCCCCGCGCGCTCTCCCACCACTCGCCACCCCGATCCTCCTCCTCCTCCGCCCCTCCCCTCCTCCGTCCAGGCGCCGGCGGCCGGAGAGATGGGGCCTCCTCCGAAGAAGCTGGTCTACAGCTTCGTGGGGCGCGGCACCACGGTGCTGGCCGACCACGCCGAGGCCTCCGGCAACTTCGCCTCCGTCGCTGCCCAGTGCCTCCAGAAGCTCCCGCCCAACAACAACCGGCTCAGCTACAACTGCGACGGCCACACCTTCAACTACCACATCCACGATGGATTCAGTAATGCCCCACTCCCCAACCCGCCTGATCCGTCGTCTTCCCATCGAGTTGTATGATTCGTGCGTGCGTTCACGTGTTCTCGATCGCTGGTTGCGCTGGCGATCTGGCATTGGCTTGATTGCTGACCTTCTCGGTTTAATAGGTTACATGTCTTCAGCAATGTTCACATTTCTCATGGACATGGTGAATTGGGGGTGGAGAATCAATACAACTTTGTTGGCTTGATGCTTGCTAGGTGAACTGGCTTTGTCAAGATCTAGGCAAATCTAAGTGTGCCTCTACATAATTTGAAACCATCAAGGCATTTCTTTCGCAGAAGGCAACAAATGCCGGAGACCTCCTTTTCTTGTTTGGTACCCCCTCCGTCCCATTTTTGCAAAACAGTCTTACATTGTGAGACGGAGGGAGTACTTTGATCCGAATGGATTTTCATTCTTGTTATGTACTTATGGATAGCATGATGATGGAAAATGTGATACCTGACTTGCTTGCCTTGTCTGATTTGATAAATGTGGTTTTCATGTTTTTGGTTGAGGACATGGTTATCATGATAATGTTGCGATGAGTAGGGTGGTTACTGCCGTGCGGTAATTTTTTTCAGTGTCGTGTCATTGTCTATAACAATTTTAGACACCTTTTTCCTTGACATAGTGTATGGGGTCCTCTTTGAAGCCATTTATATTGGAATCGCACACGAGAAATTAAAATTTCACCAAATTCGCATACATCAGTTTTTCAGAATGACGTGTATCCCTGTAAAGTATTCTGATACTTTAGAAGTATTATCTTCCTGTTGATAACTCACTGCATTCTGTTTTGGCTTTGTTGTTCAATAGTAGAGATAAAATTGTGAGTGTAGGACACTTATGTAAGAGTCAAGCAGATTCAGTCAGTTTTTTATGTAACCGTGCATTTGATTTTCAGCATATTGTGTTGTTGCTACCGAGTCTGCTGGTCGGCAACTTCCAATCGGCTTCATTGAGAGGGTTAAGGAGGATTTCGCCAAGAAATACAGCGGAGGAAAAGCCAAAACTGCTGGTCCCAATAGCCTCAAACGAGAATTTGGGTACTTCCCGTGATATCTGTGCACACATATTTCGAAATTCCAGCAAGTCTCATCTTATCATATAATGTGAATGTGAATACCGAATCATTACAATACATGGGTGCTAGCTACTTTATATGAGCATGCATGGTTCAGAAATAAATAAATATAAACAGTGTGAGTTACTATTACAGTGGATGTCTTTTTCCAGGCCTAAGCTTAAAGAACACATGAAGTATTGTGACCTGCATCCTGAGGAAATTGACAAGCTTGCAAAAGTGAAGGCTCAGGTTTCAGAGGTGAAGGGAGTGATGATGCAAAACATTGAAAAGGTGCATGTCAATTCTACTTTCAGTCTGATAGTGATCCCTATCGGGGCATTTCTGAAGCTTCGGCGTGTTTACTTTTTTCCTTACAACCTGTACATCAGGTACTAGATCGTGGTGAGAAAATCGAACTGCTTGTCGATAAGACCGAGGATCTCCGCTCACAGGTATCATATACTCATACGCACCTCGATTCGATCTTTTCTTTCCTCTGTCACCATCCTCGGTGCATGACATATCTGGTCATATTTGCCTGCCTGCAGGCACAAGATTTCAAGAAGCAAGGAACAAAGATACGGCAGAAGATGTGGTGGGAGAACATGAAGATAAAGCTCATCGCTTTTGGCATCATTGTCTTGCTGATCCTCTGCATCATCTTGACAGTTTGCCGCGACTTCAAATGCTGGTGATGTGACTGGAGAGTGCACTGCTCACCTCACCCCACTGTTTTAACTACTGCTATAGCCTTCAGTTTGACGTCGCATTGTCGAAGAGAAGAAAGAAATGCAGGAAAGGAAATAAGGGGGAAATTAAAGGGCATGCTGCTACAACATATGTAGAGAGCGCTGTTTCCGAGAAAACAATCACATAGAGAGTGCAATCACCATCAACAGCGTCGTGATGCTAGAATATGTCAGTGTTATTATAGTTTCCGCTGATCGCATTCTTTAATTTAGTTATATATATCTAGGTCCCAAGGCTCGCAATATATAAGAGTCAATGCCCAAATATTTATTTTGCATTGTTGTAATTAGTAATGTTGTGATTCAGATGAGGTACTTTTACTGCAATTCCGTACGGCGATTTGATATTCCTGAAATATGCTTCTGTGTTCATGGCTCTTGAACAAGCTTAGAGCATCTTACCTTTTTTAGGGAGCTGCATTAGAATATCTTAACACTATCCATACACTTCCTTGGTCCAACATACACTGAACTCTCCTTGTGAAATTACTGTCATTTCCCCGCAATCCTAGGTCGACACCACCTTTGGTGCCTGTGTAGGGTCGCTGGAGTGTGGTGGCTCCATGGAGTATGGGATTTTCAAAGTTAATTCAAAAGGCAAATTTATAGGTTTCTGAAAAGGTTGAAATTATATTCTCCAAAAAAAGAAGTTGAAATTTTAACCCACATTTGCATATAGATGTTCTCTACATATCTTTACAGTTATGTTTTAATTTTTAAGATAAAACAAATGTGGTTCTATGATAGTATATCCATTATAGAACCATTTATTTGTTTTCGTTCTGGTCTTACCTACAAATAAAAATATTTCTTCGTAAATGTTTTCAGGCGCCCAAAGAGCACATATATGTATTTGTGAAAAAAAAGATTTTTTAACTCCATTTTTGTTCAAAAAAAGGGCAAAGCTATGGGTTGACCGGGCAGAAATAAATCCACATCGTCCAATTAGACCTAAGATCGTGATCTTCAGCGCAATTGACATTCCAGCATATCCCACCCCCTCCCTCTTCCCCCCGCGCAACATTTGTTATGTATGTTTGCAACATCGCCGCATCATTTTACTCGTGATATGAATAAGAGTATCTACAACCGAACCGCTCATATCCTCCCCAAGCGTCCGGGCCCGGTCACTGCACAGACAAGAGAGAGAAAGAGAAAAGGCACCCGATCACCCTCTCCTCATGTTGTCCTCACATATTTGGGTTTTCCGCAAATCCCCATAAACAATTCATATATGGGGAGGATATGGGGATGTACGGGTGTGTCTGGACAGTTCTCCACGTAGGATGCGGCCCATCCCGGATCACTTTTTCTCTTTCTATATTCTTTCTTCTCTCTCTCTCTCTCTCTCTCTCTCCACCAATCACATGCCAACCGGATAATTTGGTGACATGGTTGCATGCACGCACAAATGGTGGTCTGAAACAAAACAAATTCGGACACTGACCGGATGCGTCCGCGGACGTTTGAGAGACCAAATTTGCCAATTATGGCTGTCGATACCCTAACAGGGTAAAAGAATGTCACGTCATTTGAAACACACCCAAGCAACACATTCTTATGTGTATGCAACAAATCTCCATTGGCTGAAGCAAAATCCCTGAAAAGAATTGTCGCCAAATGCATCATGTAAACCAATGTTTGTAGCACGTGAAAACAGTTGTATCGTGAAAAGCAAACATTTGTAGCAATATCACAACATGTTGATCGTATGTTTGCAACAAAATGTATATGGGCAACATCGGAAAAGGTGCAAAATCACTAACCTTGCACCGTCAACATTTGGGTCCCTCGTCTCACCGCCTTGAGATTGCAGTGGAAAATCTGGCTTGTCGGAACATCGCTATTGCCAAATCTGGTGAGTAAACTCATTCCCCCTCACCCCTCCATCGCACTTGATTGAGCTAGAGAAAACATCTGGATCCAAGCTCCAACTTGACTTTCGATTTGAGAAATGATGAGAGGAGGGGGAGTCACCTAGCGCCGTCCATGGTGGTCGTGAACTAGCAATATGAGCCACTGGCCTGCAGGGGGATCCCATGGGAGAGGAGGAACTCATGAGAGAGGGGTTGGAGAAAAGAGACATTATCCGGGAGAGAAGAAAAGAGAATGTTGTACAAAAGAAGGAAGTTGTCTGAGGCACTATACCCGCATGACATGCCAGCATGGATGATTGGGTCGGGTGAATAGAATCATTTACCAAAAATATATTGGTAGTATATATATGTACATATACACTGAAATTGTTGTACACATGAAACCGCCAAAAAGAACTTGTACACTGCACATGCAACACATCTACATACATGAGCACCAACATAGAACATACTGTATGTCACATTGATTAACACGTACGCTTCACACTATTCTGATCAAGCTACTGCAGTACTGCACACACACACACAACTTCTATTGAGTTCTCACGAGCTTCACACTATTCTGATCAAGCTACTGCACACTCACAGCTTCTATTGAGTTCTCATGAGCTTCTAGCTAGCAAGCCATCTGCTCCCTGCCGAAGGGTGTGATCTCCTCGAACACGGGCAGCCTCCGGTGGCTCTTCCGGTACGGCGCGGCCCACTGCCTGGCCACCATGTCCAGAAGCTCCGCCATCTCGTCGGCCTCGGCGCCGTCCTCCTCCCCGGCCTCCTTCTCGCCGCCGCCGCCTGTCTCCGCCCTGATCCGCTCCAGCAGCTCCTCCGCCTTCCTGACGACCTTCCCGCCGCCGTGCTCCCTCTCCCTCCCGTCGCGGAACGCGCCGGCGACCACGTCGGCGAGCACCCCCTCGGCGTCCCCCAGCCGGCCCTGCTCCATGAGGCACAGCGCGAGGTTGCAGGCCTTGTTGGCGTCGGGCTCCACCATCTGCGCCTTGCGGTACACGGCCTCGGCCGCCATGAAGTTGCACTGCTGCATGTAGGCCCAGGCGAGGTTGCCCAGCACCCGGGACGTCTCCTGCTGGACGGAGACGTGGATCTTGCGGCCGTGGGAGCGGGCGCGCTTGGTGGCCTTGTCGGCGGGGAATGCCTGGCCGTGGTAGATCCGGCGGAGCTTGTGCTTGAGCAGCTCGATCTCCTCCTTGGTGCGCCCGCTGGCCTTGTAGAGGTCGAGCAGGATGTTGTCCAGGGACTCCTGCGACTGCTTCCCCGGGCAGAGGTGGCGCAGCGACCGGATGGCGTCCACGGCGTCGTCCAGGTAGCCGCGCTGCTTCATCACCACCGCCATGTCCTTGAGCGCGCTGTCCACCTTGTCCCCCGTCTCGATCGCCTTCCAGAACCACGCGATCGACGCGTCCAGGTCCTTCTCCACTAGCTGATGAACCAATTTATTCGAAATAGTCGTCAATTATAGATCATTTTCCGCTCATGTACAAGTCCATACTTATTTGTTAAACCCTCCAGTCACAGAATTTTGTTACTGTAAGTGTAACTTCAAAATTTTGACTTTGGATAAACAAACTGCGCCTTCTAAATCCTACCGAAGGGAGTGATTATTTCTCGTTACATGGAACCTTGTACTTAGTTTATGATCTGATGAAATCGGCGCGTGCATGCTTGAAGAATGACGAAAAGTGATCACTAGCTAAATGTTAGGACATCTCTTTTGCCGTACTTTTGTTTCAAATGGAACATCACTTCCTTTTGGTCGGATCCATTGCTCCGCCCCATGTATATACGAGGACTGGCTACTAATCATAAACGCAGATTTAAGACAATGCTTGTGCCCATTGCTCTATGTTTGGCCCATGTGGTCGTTTAGAAATGATGTTGTTCTTAAGGATCAACGGGCAGGCGATCTTCTATATGTACGGGTCGTTCTCTTCTCCTCCACCAGAGGCGGCGGACTATTTACCCTCTTTCCCGGTGAGACCACGGGTACCCTCTCCCCCCGTCTGTCATTCCGGCGACGTGAGGGGGCAGTGACCCTTGGTCTTCGGTCCGGTGGTAGTAGGGTTAGGAATAAGTTAGGTTTTGTCTCCAGTCAGGGGTGGTGAGATGTTATGGCGTCATCGGCATGGAATAAGGTCTTGTCGTCTCGCCCTCGTTTCGGGAGTGCTTCTTCATATCATTGATTCATGATTTTATAGAATGTGACACCCCCATCTTTATCTTTAGATGAAAAATATGTGTGATTCTATGCTAGCACACTGGATCATTTTCTCTCTGGATCCGCCCCTGGTGTGTGAATCTAGTTCTTCAGGTTTGGGTTTTTTTTCACCAATAGGTTTGCCTCAGTGATGCTACAATGCGGATCGGATAACATGGCCGTGCATCTTGATCCTTCATCTCCAGTTCTGACCGGCAAAGGTTGACCAGTCTCGGCCTTGTTTGGGAGTGAGTGAGATTTGTGTCTGGCAGGAACTGGGGCTATAGGCCCTCTCCAGTGTTTTCCTCTCCGATGCAACCATTTGCTCTGTAGATCATGGCCGTTGGCGTTTTTCGGTCTACATCGACCACTGTATGGCCACTACTTCTACAAGACCATGAGCTTAAACAAGTTTGCTCCGTTGAGACGGATGCCAGAGATGACAATGAGCTTTGCTCACAGCATGCTATCGGTGGATACAGGATGAAGAAGTATTTTTTTATTTATAAGGGTACTTTTGTAATGATATATTCTACTACTTAATATATGGCCTTTGCCTTTTCGTACAAAAACTAAAAAGAGAAATTTGTTGTTTTCTCATTTCCTTGAAATGCTTTGCCACTCCACCTTGTGATGTACTCCCTCCGTTCCAAAATAGATGACTCAACTTTATGCTAAAGTTAGTACAAAGTTGAGTCATCTATTTTGGAACGGAGGGAGTAGATGCTGGAAGAGCTACTCTGGGTGCAGAAACCGTCTTGCGTGACGATTCTGAACTACTCTAAACGAAGCAGTGTGGCCACCAGCCCACCACCAGCATGTACTAAGACGGGGTATATTGAATGAAATCTAACCAACTACTCCGTACTACTTCTACCTCCGTTTATAAATATAAAACGTTTTGGCAATTTAAATTGAACTTTTTTTTACAGGTAGCAATTTAAATTGAACTACCAAAACGTCTTATATTTAGGAAGTAGAGGTTGTACTATGTTGCAACTTCTAACTGAATAGTCTAACTATAAGTAGCACTTCAATCCCATTACAGCCAATTAACAAAGTGTTTTCGAGGTGAGATAGATTCGATCCTTCCGGCCCGGAGGCCACCATTCACATCCCTCATCGTCCAGAAAATGAATAGGAGTAGTACATAGCTAGTGCTTGGGTTTACCTGGTAGTGCTTGGCCCGTGCATACGGCCCGCCGCCGGAGGGGATCTTGAGCGCGACGTGCACCGCCGCTGCCGCTGCCGCCATCGCCGGCGCCCCCGTGCTCGGCGCCGGCTGAGCCAATCCGGCCTGAACCATGTCGACCTCCGCCTAGAAGTAGCTAGCTAGATAACTCTTTTTTCTCTCTCTCTTAAAGGAGCTAGCTAGATACCTAATGATTTGCTTCCGTCGATGGCGCTCGCCGCTGATTCCTTTTCCGGCGGGAATCGATACCGTACGGCCGAGTCAGTCACGGTGTCGAGGCTGGCGGGGGAGCTGTCGCTGTAATATATAGCCCAGACGGCCGATCGGATGAATCTGGCCGACCGAACGACGCACCTGGACGGGGATGCATCCAGATTCGGTGGTGAATGGTTCAGTGGACTCGTTGGATGGAGCCTGCTTAGTCGGGCATGTTCATCCGACAGCGTCCAGTAGCTGGCGCCTGATGATGGACAAAATCGGCCCCCTTCTCGTTAGCGTGACGGCACACGTGGCACTCACCAGGTTGGGTTATGGATGGCGCATCTGCACGTCAAAACTATTCCTCCCTTTACCTCAAAAAAAAAAAATATTCCTCCCTTCGATTCATATTAGTTGTTGCTGAATTAATGTATCTAGATATTATTTTAGGATGTATCTAGATATTATTTTAGTGCTAGATACATTTGTTTTGAACGATAATTAATATGGATCGGATGAAGTACAGCTTTCAGGGCACACGTAGATATATTATCTTAAGTCCGCCATGTAATCTAGAGATGACAATAAAAATAATATATTATAGGTTATTTTTCAATGTTATCTTCAATAACAAGATACACATAAATATGTAGTGAGAGATATTACAGCTAAGAGATCATTTTTTAATTAAGAGAAGGCAGTCATTTTCTTCATGTTTCTGTCTCCTCCACTTCTGTATTCAGCTTACGTGGCACTCTTATAATAGTATTATTGTATATACCCTCATTGTGTCAAATTCATGGTTATTTACCAGCCAACCAATATTTTTCTTTGTAAGGAAGCTCGCCTTTTCTTTCTAATTACCAGTTCTTTTGGTAGCTTAAAAAATAAGCCGTCTTCTCCTTAGCTTTTTTCATAAGCCGCCTCTCTTATTCATTAGGACTTCTAAACTAGCACGGAATAAATAATTTAGAAGTCTCATAAAATATTAGGGGTGGCTTATTTTTTAAGCCGGGAAGAGACAACTTATTTTTTAAGCCGCCCAAAAGAACTAGCCCTAAACTGTCGGCTTGACTCACATTTGATCTTTATTTAAACTGTTTCTGAATCTACAACTGCAATACCCCCAAAAAAACGAAGATATTTTTTCTTATAAACTTGATAAAAAAATTATGAAGTTGACTTATGAAAAAAATATGTGCACTATATAATGGAACATAAGGGGCATTTTGCTAGTAGCGTTCCAAACGATGTTACACTTGGGATGCTTAAACTTTATTGTGGACATGGTGACGCCAACGATGAAGAGATATCACTTCTTCAGACGCACCGGGATGAAAAGATGACTACGTTTGAGCACTGCAAATATGAAAAGAAAAACATAATTTTGCGGAGAGGGTGAAAGAAAGGAAGGTAGTCGCATGAATTTGGTGCATTGAATGAGGACGTCTCCTTGTCTATATGCTTGCGACCCACACATTTGTGAACATCATGATAAACGACCATTGAGCCGCTAGAGTCGACCACTAAATTGAGAACTGTATTATCCCCAGTGATTGATTGGCGATTTAATCAAAATTCAACTCCTTAAACGCATTCTTGCATGATAATTAGTAGGATCGCCTCTATTGTAGAGGTAGATGTGCTACACATCTACTCCCTCCGTTTCTAAATATAATTTTTTTTAAAGATTTCAATATAGACTACATACGGATGTATATGGACATACTTTAGAGGGTAGATTCACTTATTGTGCTCCGTATGTAGTATTTTGCTCCGTATATAGTTTATATTAAAATCTCTAAAAAGACTTATATTTAGAAACGGAGGGAGTACTACATATTACGCAAGTAGTACTGCTACTAACACAAGCGATAAAACTTTTAGAGAAAGAAAGCTTATAACCCGATTTTATAAATAAAGCGCTTAACAAAGCAGAGGTAACAAATTAGTCTGGGATGTTGTCTTACAACAGGACATACATATCATGAAAGAAAAAGATAAAACGAATGATACAGATTGTCGGAATGAGACAGGGTTGCAAAAATGTCCCAAAGGTAGGAGGAGGATTGCTCTGTTGCTCCTGCTCGAAGCGCCTTCACTTGTGCTCCCATGCCGTAAATGAGGGAGTCCAAGTATTCCATGTCCTTCCCGCTGAACAGTCGCAAATAGACGGTGACTTTTTTAAAAGCATTAGCAGTGTTAGAGCTTTGTTCCTAGTATTGCAGAGGGCCCACATTATCATGGCGAACTCCAGTCAACTGAGGGGCTGTTATTGCCCAAAAATACCTTGAATGAGCTTATGAGCATGGAAGATTTGGCAAAGGACGAGGGTGCTCACCTACACGGTACACGCTAGTGTATCCCATATAAAACTGCAAAAATTGTGCCATCACACAAGAGAATAAAATGTGATACTAATCCTAGGTTGATTACGAATGATGCATAATCTGTCTCTTCCTGAGGCCATGGCGCTTTTGGACTTGGTCGGCAATTGGTAGCTTACCTCAGATCAGTTGCCATAGATAGATTTTGATTTTAATGGGCACTCCGAGATCTCCACGGCTCCATGATTTCAAGCATACTTGGCCCTTGAGAGGGGTATAGGGAGTGATTGAAGAATTGCATGGACCTCTTCAAGGTCGAGGACATGAAGAGTCCTCCCCCTTCCTGGAGGCAAACTCGGTGGAGCCGGGAAAACAGGCATCCATTGGTCAACCTCATGTGGGCCTAGTAAACGATTGAATGGAGGGCACTTGATCAAAAAACCTGCAGGTAAGTATTTTCTAAATAATTGCGATGAAGAACCAATCAATGATTGGCTGGTTAGGAGGTCAGTGATATCCTCAATCCACCAGAGATCAAACCCCGGGTTTGACGGTTTGATGTCTCATTAATGCGGATTATTCTCTCAGTGGGAGGCGAGTATCTCTCGACAGCGAGACACCCGTGGTGACTTCGTCAATATTCAAGCTCCGCAACTTCAACTTGGTTTTCAGCAGGTGTGTGGTGGTGACAGTGTGTGCGTCTATGTTGTAATCGGGGTTTCTGGGGAACATTTTTTGATGATGTGCTCCGCAGAGAAATCCTTAGGATTAGTAATAATTTGAATTTGTTTCATACTTAGGCTCAATCATGGTTAGATAGTTGAAACAATCTAAAAATGCGGAACTAAGAAAAAGTGCAGAACTAATACATCATAAATTATGGAATTCTTAGCAAAGAACAACATATGAATCTGTAAAATTGACTATGTGCTCTACATGCAAGTTGCAGAAATTTGATGAGATCAGGATTCTTTCTAGGAAATGACAAAAAAAGGTTTCGGAAATGTTAGCTGACGATCATTCGCCAGTGGTCCTATCCCAGTGAAAGCTCCCTCTTCAGTCTTCCGTGGTTTCGTTGCACAAACCTTGGCGAAGGAGATAGGAGACACATCATATTTTTAACTCGTTCGCTGTGATACAAAACCCGACGAACATTATCCCATTCAAAACAATACCGCCCACTGCATTGGTTAGTGTCGTGAGACATGGGCTCGAATCCTGGCCCGTCCTTGTTTTTCTCCTTTTTCTAGTAGATGACAAAATATGTTTTTTTTTCTTAGGTACAAGCATTTCTTTTCTAAAAAAATGCATGGCAGCTTTTATAATTTTTCAAACTTTCTCACATGGCAAATTTGAACATTTTTTCTAATGTTCACCAGTCAAGTTTGTTTTTGTACAAGATAGTTTAATTATTAATAGCATGCCATTTTTATTATTAAGATGATGGCTTTGTATTATTAAGAGCATGGCAAACTTTTAGAATTTTTTTTACTGTGGCATGGCATTTTGTATTGGTACATGGCAAAAACAAAGAACAAATGTTCTCGCAAACATGGCATTTTTCTGCACAGTGACATGGCATAAAACATCTCATGAACAAAATTCATTAAAAAAAAGTATGTCACTCGCAATTTTTTGAAAACTTTTTGTGGAGTAATTTTGTTTTTTGGGGATGGCAATTATCTAGAGTAAAATTCATTTTAGCTGCTGTTTTTATAATATGGCAAAAGGTTTGGACTTTTTTTGGAAAATAGTGATCAGGCTGGGAAGAGTACTATACTGGCCCAGTTATTGCCTCCTCACTGAGAAAAGGCCGAAATAGTGATCGAACCGCCCAGGGAGAACTATCCGTTCGCTGGTGCCTCCTCCCTGAGAAACGGCTGCCAGTTATTAAGTTTATGTAAAGCACTAGTGCAAATTTCCACATCTCACTAATCTTATATAAAATTGAAGTGTACAAATTTGTTCTAAAAAATGGTGAGCTCACATAGAAAATTTATTATGAATTGAAGTCCTACAAAAATTATCAAATTTCAATCCAAACAGACCCCTCAAACTAGATTCAGGAATCACTTGAAGGGTTGGGCGCCCTTTGCTACGTAGTTGGTGTTGTTGAGATTGTGAAGAAAAATATACTCATTTTGTTTTAAAATATAGATCTATTACTTTTTATAAAAGTCCAACCTCTTTAAGTTTGATCAAATTTATGAAGAATTATATCAAAATTTGTAATATCAAAATTGATGTTATTATATTCATAATGAAATGAATTTTCATAATTTTTTGGCTTAATGTTGGGGTGTTGATATTTTTGGCTCTAAACTTGGTCAAAGTTAAAGAAAATTGACTTTCCAAAAAACTAATACCCCTTCGCTTTTTTTTTGTCTAGATGGTAAGAGGGTGCACGGGGTAGATATGTTTTTCTAGCCGGTTGGTGTTGATTGATTTCAAAAATCGTTGGCCCAATCAAAATCGTAAACCAAATTCAAAATTGAATATCTCAATCAAATAAAAAAAGCTTCAAAATTAGGGAATAGGATGAATTAATAAAATAACTAAATGAGAGAGCTTCTTGAGATATTATTGGTCCGGTCAAAATCAGATGACCAAGTTCTAAACTGAAGACCACAATAGTGTATAGTATCAAAGAATTGAACGAGAGCTTTGAGAAATTGTTGACTCAGTCAGGTGACCCAATTTCAGTTAAACACCTTAATTGATTGTGAGGTTTTTTACCCAGATATGCCCCGTGGCCTTTCCCAAAAAAATTATGTCCGGTGGAAGCGGTCAGGGTCTATCGTAGAGGGTCAAACTAGATTTCCAGCTGATTTTGCGAATTGGGGCTATAGTTTTCACAGTACATAAGCTTCAGTTCTCTTCGCCCAGGTCAGTAAGCTACAAATCCTTTCCCAGGCCAAACAATCTTTTTTATAGCATACTACTCCCTCCGTTTGGAATTACTTGTCTCGGAAATGGATGTATCTAACGGAGGGAGTAGATGGCAAGGAGCTAGGAAAGGCAAAGCTGGTAAACAGATGAACTACTATTCAAAACTGCACTCTTAGATACAGTAAAGGTGTCCCAGGAACAACATAACATGCTTGTCAAAATCCCACAGAATGGAAGCAATGGTACCGATACCATTGGCGATTATAGCTAAAAACTGGGAAGCCTAGTCGATGGTTCACAATGAAACAGCGCCAAGGTTCGGTTCCGATTCACAGAACGCGTACCTTCTGTCTCTCTTTTTTGCAACAATACAGCACTATGTGACCTAATAGTTCTGGTTCCCGCGCCCGCGGCCAGGGCCCATCCGACCACGGCCCCGCACGTAGCCCCTGCCGCCTGGGCCACCTGGGCCGCCTGCACCTCGGCCACCGCGCTCGTATCCTGGACCTGTGATGGACAGATTCCATGATTGATTGTTTAAAGGCTTATTATGCAAGAACAAGACAACCGAATCTGATACACAGTGCTGTATTGTTTAAAGACTTACTAAATCTATACAAGCAAGCTTCGAACCTTTTGAATTAATGCCCAGGATAGCGATCATTTAAACTGTATCTTTTCTCTAAAGCACATACAGTTATTGTTTCAATCATGGTTTCAAATACAAGTTCAGGCTTGGAAAATAATCACAGTACACATGCACATGGTCTAAATATATAACTTGAGATAAAACAGCAAGTGTGAAGAAATTATTCTTTGTTTATCAATATGTATAACTCATTTTCCGAATGTGTTTAAAGGGAAATCAGATTAGCACTGAAATCTTATTATTGGTGATTAAAACCCTGTTCTATCGTCACGAATACCATTCACTGAAGTTCTGCCATAATGGAGACATCAGTCAGCAGCAGAAATTATTGTTACTTAGATTTGTACCAAGATGAAGTAAATGCACAAGATAGGTGGGTACCAACAGAAAGTTCAATTCATGCCTAAATAGACTGTATGTTGCTGTGATTTGTACATACCACTGTATCCCCAGTTGCCTCTTCCTCGCCCACCGCCACCACGGCCTCTGTTCTGGTTGTAATTCCAGCCACCATTATCTGACAAGATAAAATGGTGAGAACACATAGTTGTGTATGTATAGTGTAACACCCCAACTTTTTGTAACGATTTTCAGGGAAGACCCAAAAAAGCATCCAAAAAAATCAACTGAAGCAGTCAAACACTAAACTCCACTTCTGTAAGGATTAGATTATCATAAATACTTCGCTGATGGGCAACCTTGAATAACAGTAAACAAAAAAAATTATGATAGAACTTACCATATCCCCCATATCCACCTTGATCATAACCATAACCCCCTCCATAGCCACCTTGGTTTTGGCCATACCCTCCCTGATTGCCGTAACCTCCCTGGTTGCCATACCCACCTTGGTTGTGGCCGTAACCTCCATGATTGCCATACCCACCTTGGTTGTGGCCGTATCCTCCCTGGTTGCTATATCCACCATAACCTCCTTGGTTATTATCATACCCACCATAACCTCCACCATACCCTCCCCTACCACCCCAGCCCCTTCCTCTCCCTCTGCCTCTTCCACGTACATATGAATCTTCAATGCACATGGAACAAGTTAGCAATCAGTAACATAGACAAACTACATTTAGTGATTGTATGTTCACCTGTTTGACCTTGATTTTGTCTTGGCTGGTGCTGTTGTTGATACCGCTGAACTTGCTGGTACCTTGGTTTAAGTGGCTCTGCATGCAATGGAGCTTGATATCTACAAGATCACATAAAATTGTATATTACAGTACACATGAAATCAAGGTAGAGCATCCTAGATGCTTCAAAACAAATCATGGGAAGGAAAACATGTCAAACATAATACCCGGGTGAATTTGTGTCGAGCTCCTTAGGTGACAAGGAGATTGAGATCATTGAAACATGACGAGTCATCTCCAATCTGCAACAAGATGACATATATAAAAACACTAACAAAGAGGGTGATCCAAGGAATCAGCAAGCAATATAGTTTTGCAATACTTAACGGTACAAGGCCTTCCTCAATGGGTTCCCATACATCAGTAATACTGACTGAACTGATCGTTGTATCTTGATGCAACCCAGGGATCCTTTTCTGTGATTAGATGGAGCTAGTTAATTTTAAGGAGTCCAAATGATGGTATCAAAAGAGAGCTAAGAACAGACCAACCTTTATGATCTCGGTAATAGCCACTGTCTTGCTGATAGCTTGTCCCATGGCCTTCAACACAATTTCTTTCACCCTTTTTTCCTGATTTGAACAACTTATAAGGTTCACTGTATGCATACAGGTACATGTGATACGGGTGAGCTGTAATAGTTAGCTAAGTACAGATGGCACCACATATCACAGTAATAAACTATACACCCAGCAGAAGTGGCGTAGCAGGTCATGGTTGTAGAAGAACGGTGGAATTACCACATTGTTACATGATGCATCCTCCTTGATACAAAGAAGGATTGCATGGATGTGTGGCCCTTATAAGGATCAAGGTTGAGAACTTTAGACTGAGTGGCACGCCCCAACTTTGAAACAATTGTTACAAAATAAACAGACTCCGGGAAGTGGTGCGATATCGCACCTACAACAAAAGAGGGCTGTAACTTGTGGAAATGGCAATGACTAATAGCAAGTAGCATCCATGAAAATGCAAAACAGCAAAGCCTGCTGGCAGCATTACAGAAACAATATCAGTTAGGTGCATGCGAGGACCAGCAGGGAAACCAGTTTGACATTACAAAAGATAAGACAGGGCAGGAGAGCCACTAATGTTCTGGCTTCAATCTCATTTCCTTTTAATGGCAGCAATTGGCTCCACGATGAAGGGCTCACACCAAGAGAATACAAGCCTTTGCCAACATGATTGAATCTGTTGTATATCCAGACTGATGACTCATGTACCTACCAACTAAATTCGATAAGCTCAAGATTATTAAAGATTTCAGTGCATTCAGAGTAAACATCAACAAATGCCAATTTGCACTCGACAAAGGGACGCTGAATTTATTGTATTTTAGATAACAAGAGTATATCATACAGCCTGTAACATCAAAGAGCCCACGGAAGGCCCTTAAATCTTCAGATTAGCTAGAGCTTTGATGTGGCCCTGTCCAATTAGCATACCAAAACTACCACCTGTCATCCAAGATAAGCAAAAAACTACCTCCCTGTCCCTGATCACTCACCCCGGTAGGACAACATAATGCTATGTCCGCATTCCGTAAATCCATTACTCGCTAACTTAGATACTGCAGATATCCTTAACCAGATGGCATTCCTTTTTAAGACGGCATGGAAAATATCACACTGCAGCACCAAATCTCACAGAAAAAAAATGCAAGCAAAACAAGATATCATTGCCGTATATATCAGTGGCCGGCCGATAATCAACAGTCACGTTCGATGCTGTATGGGGTCAGGAAGAATATTCCGCCCAAATTTGCCATTTTAAGACGTGCCGCCACAAGATCTGACCGAGGATACGGCGCCTATTCGAGGCTGCCCCCTTGGGGCCTGAGCCGGTGGCTACGGGGGTGGCGGATGGTGCGGTACCTGGAGGAGGGAGGTGGCGTAGGTGACGTAGTTGCGGATGAGGCCCTGTGTGGTGATACGGATCTCGTTCTCGCTGATGGCGGCGGCCTCCGGCCGCGGCTTCTCGACCCGTTGGTACCGATCCATGGCTGGTATCTCCGGCGGTGCTCCCGGCGGGCTGGCGGCGCGGCGGCGGCGTTGGTGTTTTGCGCTGCTGAAGGGGGGTGGGGAGGGGTAGTGGCGTGCTGGCAGTGAGAAAAACCCTAGAAATAGGGGAGATGGGAGTTAGGGTTTAACGGCATCCGTGGGTGGCGGCCGCACGGATGGATGGGCGATCTCGTGCCCGCAGGTACCTCTAGATTCGCACTTTTTGTTCTCTTTTTGTGACTTCCGAATATTGCTAAGATACTGTACGATCCGTATGAGCGAAATGTTTTTTTTACTGGCGTATGAGCGAAATATTAAGGGCGTCTCTGACCCTCAAATCTCGAAATATTAAAGGCATCTTCAATCCGGACTCTCAAACCTCTCGCAACCATCCGGACCGCGTTGTCTGGATCACGGAAGCCATCCAATATAGACCTGTGTCGGTTTGCGGAACAATCCGGACGGTTTTCTTTTGCAAACCGGAGACAAAAGTTGGGGAGGTTTGTGGGAGTCCGAACCGATCCTAAGCCCGCTTCTGACCGCCCTGACCCCCCTCCCTCTCCCCGGCACACACTTTTCGCCCGCCGGCAGCTGCCCGCATTCATGCCGCTGTAGAGCGCACCGCTCCGTATTGAAGGCGGCTCAGGACGGACACAATCTCTCATTGCATCTGCCATGGAAACGGCGCGTCGACCGAGGACACCGCCGCTGCACGCCCGGCTGAACACGCCTCCTCGCTACATTCATACACCTCCATTAAACCCGCGTGGAAGCTGAGAAACCCACTTCGGCCACACGTCCGTTCATGAGCGGACCGACATTAAACGCAACGCCGGCCGAGCTCCTTCTGTCCGCCCTCTATTTAAACGAGGTCATACGCTGGGCAAGAATCGCGCCCCTCCGCCGCTACCCCATCTCCTCCTTCATCATTTTCTCCACTCTTCGATGGCTTCCGAAAGCATTTCTTCGGGATACAAGCCGGCTGGATGGCCCGTCGAGACCAACGGATACGAGCGAGGCAACTCGCTGCTTTACCTCCCCCACCTAGCCCGATGAAGCAAGTTGCCGCCCCAAGTCAGCGCGTGGTTTAGCAACTCGCCGCTCCAGACCAGCTCAATGAGGAGTAGCAAGGGGAGCACGACGGCGCGGGCGTCGTCGCTGCCGTCGACGACGTCTCATCGTACCGCATCTCCCGTGTCTGCGCCCACGCCTCCCGTGCCTGCGGCCGTGCCATGTAGACAGAGATAGAACCCGGGCGCGCAGAGAGCAACGAGTCGATGCCAGTGCCTTCACGTCTGTCGCCATCATCGAGGAGAAGTAGAACACGAGAGATCACCGCCACTTGGGTCCCATGAAGGCCAACGCCGATGCGACGCCGCGTACACCATCGGTGTCTTGCCCAGTTCTTCTCTTGCGAGGACCTTCGCCGATCCCGCATGGAGTCCATAGAAGCGGAGGCGCCGCCTTCCGCTTCGCTAAAGCATTAGCCGGGGGTTCCACTCCGATGAGCGGTGGGGAAGTGAGCCGTCCTTTGCGCTGAAGCATATACCTCTGGGGCTCCCGGCAGTCCGATGATCGGGCTGCCGGACATGAGGAAGACAAAGGGACCCGCGGAAGGCCATTTAGATTAGGTATTATTATACCTCCAGAGCCGGATTAGCACCACTTAGTTGATGTAAATGTAATGAAATCTGCCGTGTTTATATGAAAATCCGGCATTTTTATATGAAATCCGTCATGTTTATATGAAATCCGGTTGTGTTTGCACGAATTTTGTCCAGATGGTTCGAGTTGTTGTGAAAATGTATGCGGCTATGGTTGGATGGCGTCCTTCTGCATTCTTGTCTGTGGACGGATGCTGGGAGAATTTGCGGGTTGTCGTTGGAGATGCCCTAAGGGCGCGCTTGGTTTGCTCGCATTAAACCCAGCCAAAAAACGGTTGTTTGGTTGTCTAGCACGCATCAGAATCTTGGCCCACACGAAACTTAAAGCACTCCTCAGCGAGGCCCGCTAGGAACGTCCGAATCAGCAGTTTCCAACGAGTCAGGCTCGAGCAATGCAAGGGAATGGAACACGAGGCTGACCTTCTGCGGCTACGAAGATGGCAGGAGCTCGTGCATGTCTCCGAAAAAGCGGCGGATGATTTCGGGTCACCGCTCGCCGATTCGGTCGACCTATATAGCTAGGGCGATCGCAGCGGCAAAACTCCCGCCACCATTTTCCTTGTCTCGAGCTTTCCTCCGGCGCAGATCCACATCGACGACGAGGTAAGCGGCGCAACTGCTCCGGCCACCGGTTGACGACGGTGACGAATCGACGACACCTCTTCTCCGACGTGTTCAGCACCTCCTCCGCGGTTGCTCTTTGTATTATAGTTCATTTTTTGGTACCAAGTTGTTTTCTAAAGTGTATTTTGCGTTGCTTTGTTTGAAAAGAAAAAGACCTAGTGAAGAAAATCATCAATATCCCTAAAGACCTAAAAAACTATTTCCCCTCCAAATAACTTACAGTTGCTTGAATAGTTTGCTACGTTTCTTGTGTCTAGATAATCGTTCCTAAATAGAAAATGTTCAAAACTTCAATTTATACCTTTCACCGGTTAGGTAATACAGCGAATTATCATGGCTCTTTTATTCTTTGATCATAACTTATATTTCAACGAATTAATTATTTTCTCTCTACTTTCACATTTAACACTACTTAAAAAGTATATGCTATTGGACTTAACATTGTGGTGAATTTATTGTTAGGTACTTGACCATAGTTGATGATATATGGGATATATATATGCATGGCGTGTTATTCAACATGCTTTCCCAGAAAATAATCTTGGCAGCCGACTAACAACAACTACAAGAATTCAGGATGTGGCTACGACATGTTGCTCCGTTCAAGCAGATATTGTTTTTAAAATGAAGCCCCTTGGCGATAGAGACTTAAGAAGATTGTTTATTCACTTCTTCTTCGGTACAACACTCTTAAACACATCGACGCACGAGATTCTTCGATACCCCTTCATAATAAAGGGTAGGATGGTCTTTTTTTGAAATACGTCCCAAACATATATGGCGTGGGAGATACTTTCGGCTGGGCCGACCCATTGATGAAGGTTGTTACTACCTTTTGAGCATTGCGTTGGTTTTCCCCGAAGAGGAAGGGATGATGCAACAAAGTAGTGTAAGTATTTCTCTCAGTTTTTGAGAACCAAGATATCAATCCAGTAGGAGGCTACTCGCGAGTCCCTCGTACCTGCACAAAACAAATAAATCCTCGCAACCAACGCAAATAGGGGTTGTCAATCCCTATAAGGCCACTTACGAGAGTGAGATCTGATACATATGATAAGATAATATTTTTGGTATTTTTGTGACAAAGATGTAAAGTAAAATAAAGGCAAAGTAAATAACAAAGGAAATAACTAAGTAGTAGGAGATTAACATGATAAAGATAGAACTGGGGGCCATAGGTTTCACTAGTGACTTCTCTTGAGAGCATAAGTATTCTACGGTGGGTGAACAAATTACTGTTGAACAATTGACATAATTAAGCAGAGTTATGAGAATATCTAGGTATGATCATGTATTTAGGCATCATGTCCGAGACAAGTAGACTGAGTCCTGCCTGCATCTACTACTATTACTCCACTCATCGACCGCTATCCAGCATGCATCTAGAGTATTAAGTTAAAAACAGAGTAACGCCTTAAACAAGATGACATGATGTAGAGGGATAGACTCATGCAATATGAAGAAAACCCCATCTTGTTATCCTCGATGGCAACAATACAATACGTGCCTTGCTGCCCCTACTGTCACTGGGAAAGGACACCGCAAGATTGAACCCAAAGCTAAGCACTTCTCCTATTGCAAGAAAGATCAATCTAGTAGGCCAAACCAAACTGATAATTCGAAGAGACTTGTAAAGATAACCAACCATACATAAAAGAATTCAGAGAAGATTCAAATATTATTCATAGATAGACTTGATCATAAACCCACAATTCATCGGTCTCAACAAACACACCGCAAAAAGAAGATTACATCGAATAGTTCTCCACAAAAGAGGGGGAGAACATTGTATTGAGATCCAAAAAGAGAGAACAAGCCATCTAGCTACTAACTATGGACCCGTAGGTCTGAAGTAAACTACTCACACTTCATCGGAGGGGCTATGGTGTTGATGTAGAAGCCCTCCGTGATCGATGCCCCCTCCGGCGGAGCTCCGGAACAGGCCCCAAGATGGGATCTCGTGGATACAAAGTTACGGTGGTGGAATTAGGGTTTTGGCTCCGTATCTGATCGTTTGGGGGTACGTAGGTATATATAGGAGGAAGGAGTACGTCGGTGGAGCAACAGGGGGCCCACGAGGGTGGAGGGCGTGCCTGGGGGGGGGGCGGGTAGGCGCGCCCCCTACCTCGTGGCCTCCTGTTTTCTTTCTTGATGTAGGGTTCAAGTCTCCCAGATCATAATCTTCCTAAAAATCACGTTCTCGAAGGTTTCATTCCGTTTGGACTCCGTTTGATATTCCTTTTCTTCTAAACCCTAAAACAGGCAAAAAAACAGCAATTTTGGGTTGGGCCTCCGGCTAATAGGTTAGTCCCAAAAATAATATAAAAGTGGATAATAAAGCCCAATAATGTTCAAAACAGTAGATAATATAGCATGGAGCAATCAAGGTTATAGATACGTTGGAGACGTATCAAGCATCCCCAAGCTTAATTCCTGCTCGTAATTGATGTGGAATGCTACTTGGCATAATTTCAATGTAATTCTTCTTAATTGTGGTATGAATATTCAGATTCGAAAGACTCAAGACAAAAGTTTAATATTGACATAGAAATAATAATACTTCAAGCATACTAACTAAGTAATTATGTCTCTTCAAAATAACATGGCCAAAGAATGCCTCTATATGAATGCCTCCGGCGGTGTACCGGGATATGCAATGACTTATGAGTGACATGTATGAAGAAATTATGGACGGTGGCTTTGCCACAAATA